AATCATTTCCCTCTTTCGCAGCTGGCGATAGCAAATACGAATAATAATAGTAGTATCAGTAATAATAGTATTAATATAATGACAGTAATAATAATAAAAATAATAATAATTACAATAAAACTAATAATATTAATAATCGTAGATATCTATACATATGTGTAACAATGTTAATAGGAATAATAATAATAATAATAATAGTAACATAAAATCTGCCACGTTGCGCAAACGTGACGTATGAACCTTACCGGAAAACGTAAAAAAGAGACAAAAAAAGGGGTTGGTAGTGAATTCGCTGGTATCGGTGCGACTATTATGACAATCACCGTTTACGAACAATCGTCGAAAATTAACCGCTACGCAAACGTAAATGTAATATGGTGACTATGAGATCAAATGTTTGATATATCGATAACCGCGCGGTCAGCCGAGCGTGGCTCACTTGCTCGCTCGCTCCGATCTTGCTCGGCGCCCGATGCCGTCGCCGGATCTTAACCGCTGGATCAAGCGTGGATCGTGCGCGCGATCGATCGGAGAAACGCTCGCGCTGTTATCCTCCCTGTGTGCTCGTTCCCATTCCCGATTGAAACGACCTACCCCCACGTGACGATGATCCTCCTGCCTCAAACGTTACGAACGTAGCCCTTCGTCCCGAGTAACCAATACTTCTCCCCTTCGCCATCCTCTTTCATCTTCAAGGATGCACCAAGGAGAAAGCAAGATCGAATAGAATCTTTATAACGGGAATACCCAAGATTAATTATCTGAGCAAATTCTCCAAGAGTATTTCGCGCGCGCGCGCGCGCGCGCGTGGGAACATCTCGCCACTTTGCCTCGATCAAAGTTCAAAACGTCAATTCGTCCGCGGATCGGCGAAACTCGGCAAACTCGGCGAGATATTCATCGGGCGTACGGATCGTTCTTTCTCGTTCTATTTATCCCAAACCGGCGGATGGGCTTCATCACTTTGTCGAGAGAGTACTTGGTGAACGATTCCTGCCAAACCGCTTTGCCATTTCTCGGGAGAACGAAACGGCCATCGTCAACGTAGCGATATCTCGCGTATTATTCACTCCTCAACATCCATATCATTTTATCAATATATATTTTATCAATATGTATACTATATATATATATGTATATATCTCCGTTGGAGCAACAGACGCATGTTAATACCAAATGGCGTTATTCCCGCATCCGTTTCCGCTTCGTACCAGAAGACGATTTCTCAGATCCTTTGGTGTCCAGGATCGTTCGAAGCAATCGACTACCACGCCGTGTTTCTCATTTCCCGATCCATCACACGGAAACAACTTTAAATATCCCATTCTGTACCTTGATCAAATCTGTTTCCGTTTCTGCTTATGTATCAAGAAGACCTGGTACGAATAAAAAAGTAAAAACTATAACTTTTTTCCCGATTTCTGTTCTCTAAAATAGTCTCAATTTAATAAAATGTAAAAAAATTTTGGGCGTGATGAATAAAAAAAAAAAAACGCAAAAAAACAGTCGTTTATTCGAAAAAAGTACTCGATCAGAAACATCTTGATTTAAAATTAATATATTTATATTTATATAATATATTTATTTTAACATATTAATATGAATATTAAATATATTAATATCATCGATCTTCAAACTTTCTCAAAAACTTTTAATTCTTATGTAAAAGAGTTAATAAGAGCGCAGAGCGGTAATTTCTATTTTAACTTTCTATTTTAATTTCTATTTTAACTTTCAATTACCTCAGATACCATCAATTTTAACGGATTCGGAAAGATCGCCGGCGTCTCGCCGAAATACGTGCGTCATATGCGCCACGGACGGAGATTTTGGATTTATTAATATATTTTGAGTATATATTATATATTCTACTAAATACAGAATCGTGGTATATACAACAAAAAGCGGGCGGCTGCGAATCGCGCGGGGCCGAGGAAGCTTACATCAGAAACCGACCTTATATATTTCTTTACTCGAATTATCAACACGATCTATACTCAATCCCTCGTGGCTCCAGCCGCTCACTCACGCTTAACTAACTTCATACAAAAGTATACTACAGTACATATACAAAAAAAATCTAGCTCTCGAAACCATCGCGCGTCGTGGCTATCGTCTGTCTTCCTCTTTTCTATAATCGGTTAATGCACTGATCAGTTAAATCTCGTAAAACGCAGACTAATTTTGTACCGTGCTAATGTTCAGAACGCGAATAAAAAAATCGACATCCTGATCACTTTAAATTTCTAAAAATTTGTTATTGACGGATTGGTTTCTAAATGAAGATCAGTACTGCCAGAGCTTTTTGACGTCCATTGCACATCCGCGAAACGAAGATCTATAAAATTGAAACAACTGCTGACTGAATCGACTTCATCTTCCGATCTCAACTCAGCGAAATGACGGCGCAAAAATACTTTTCACGGATTTCACGGAAAGGAAATTGGGAAGAATCAAGAAAGGCCACGTGATGTCCTACCTCATAAATTTATCTTGATCGCTCATAATTGCGAATCTCGCTAGCCGCAAATGTTATCCTCATGCAAAGCGACTTGCAACTTTTTTTTTCTTTAAAAAAACGAGACATTTTCCGCCGCTTAGATCTAACGACTGATCGCGCGAATTTGACTGCGTTAATCATCAAAACGCCAAAGGGAAAGCCACGACGCGCGTTGGCCAAGAAAAACGCCCGTACATTCGAAGAGTATCTTCTCTAGCGACAAGTACAAAACGAAGACATGACGATGATTCAATCGTCAATTGTGTGAAAAAAAAAAATCGATGGCAATCGCGATAACGCGCGTTATCTTTGCAAGATCTTCGAAGTGACAAAGCGCTCGCGGAAAACACCGAAAGATCCTGCCCGCGAGTGTTCTCAATTACGCGTGAAGTACGTCTTTAGAACAAACAATTTGTAACACGATTGGCAAACACTCTTTCTCTCTGAAAAACGCTCTATACAAACCGAAGATGAATATTGATATTATCTTCCTTCTTTCTTCTCTCACTCCCTCCCCCTCTCTCTCTCTC